CCAATATAAGGATGTGCAAGATACTAACGCAATAATCTGATTAGTAACAACTTTAAGATGCGCGGGATAATAACGTAAAAATCTGATCAGTTACAATCTAAAGACGCACAAAAAACTACCGTAAAAAGCTAATTAATTACCATCTAAAGATGCACAAGATACTAACGTAAAACCCTGATCAATTATAACGAAAAAATGGGCGAAATGCTAACATAATAATCTGACCAAGTACAATTTAAAGATGCGCGAGATAGTAACGTAACAATCTGATCAATTAAAATATAAAGATGTGCGAGGTACTTACGTAAAAATCTGATTAAATACAATCTAAAGATGGGCGAGGTACTCACGTAAAATCTGATTCACTATAATCAAAAGATGCGCAAGATACTAACATAATAATCTGATTAGCAACAACTTAAAGATGCGCGTTATAGCGTAAAAATCTGATCAACTACAATCTAAAGATGCGCGAGATACTAACGTTATAATCTGATCAACAACAATCTTCAGATGCACGAGATACCTACATCATAATCTGATTAGTAACAATTGTAAGATGCGCGGGATACTAATTTAAAAATCTGCAGGCCCAGTTGTTCGAAGGCTGATTAGTGCTAACCCAGGTTTAAAATTTAATCCAGGTTTCTATATTTCTCTGTTCAAAAGTGGTTTGGGGATGATTTTTCCCATTTTATTAGAGCATTCAATTATCAAATTGTAGACAAATGGAATTAAACTGAAGTTTTTTTTGAAAGCTTTCAGATCTGAAATCAAATTTCAAACTAATCTTTGGTTATTTTAACCCGCCTTTGAACAACCCAGCCCTGATCCATAACAATCTAAAGACGCGCGAGATACTAACTTGAAAATCTAATCAGTTACCATCTAAAGATGTGCGAGATATAGGTTATTAACCAAGCGTGAGGTCAAGATGGCTGGATATTGGCCGAGTTCTTTTTTTGCATTTTTATGGACCGAGACGAGGTCGAGGTCCATAAAAATGCGAAAAAAGAACAAGGCTAATATCCAGTCATCTTGACCGACCAAGCTTGACTAATAAAGGGTTTATTATATCGCAAAAAGATTTTGCTTTAATTAGGATTAGGAATGTTTTTCTGACCTCGAGAGCCTACAAAGAAAAGCCAACTGTGTTTGTAGCACAACAAACTCACGATAGTCGTTTCTGTTTTCTTTTTTTTCACTGTCTTCTGCCACTTTTTGCGTTTCAATCACCGAAATTGTCCAAGAACAAATTCTATTTTTTTCACGAGCGGGATCAACACGGGCAATCCCGAGCGGGAAGATGGACCCATCTTGCCCGCTTGGGTAGCCAATCAGAACACAGGATTCGCCTCATCTTACCCACGGGCGCTGTGAGCGATTTAATAAAGTAACGTAATAATCCAATCAATTACAATCTAAAGACGCACGTGATACTAACGCAATAATGCGATTAATTACAATCTTAATAACATAGACGACAAAATTACTGAATGCTGATTGGTTAATGAAGGGGGTATTTTTTTTCGTAACTTTGCTTGTGAAGAGCTGAAAGTTTGTTAGCAGGCCTGGTTTCGATGTCCTGGTATGTTTGTGCAAAAATAATAATTTCATTAATCTCATTCGCACGTTAGTGGTGATTGTTTGTCAACATTAAACGGCTTCCTGTGACTGATTTCTTAAGAGCGCATTCAGAAATTCAGTATTTTTTCCCTCTATTTCATTAACAAGTAATCGCAATGGATCCTCGTAAAATTAAGGGTTAATATCACTTGTGTTTTCAGAAGTTGCTGAAAACTTTTGAAAACAAGTGTGATATTGATCCGTAATTTTACTCGGCCCCATGCAGTTACCCATACAAAGATGCGCGAGATGCTAACGTAAAATCTAATCAATTACCATCTAAAGATGCGCGTGATACTAACTGATCAACTTTATCTCAAGATGCGTGAGATACTAATGTAACAATCTCTTTGATTACAATCTAAAGAAACGTAAAATGTTAACAAAATAATCTGATTAGTTACAATCCAAATATGCGCGAGATACTAAAAATGCGATATTAACGTAACAATCAGATTAACAACAGTCAATACACGTTTGATGTATCGTAGGTGTGAACATCTACGATCTAAAGATGCGCGAGATACTAACGTAATAATCTGATCAATTACAATCCGAAGATTCGCGAGATACTAACATAATTACCTGATCAATTACAATCTAAAGATGCACAAGATACTAACCTAACAATGTGTTCAACGACAGTCTAAAGATGTGCGAGATATTAACGCAAAAACCTGATCAATTACAATCTAAAGATGTGCGAGATACCAACGTAAAAATCTGATTGAGTAAAATCTAAAGATTTGCAAGATCGTAATAATCTGATCAACAGCAATCTAAAGATCCGCGAGATACTAACGTAATAATGTGATCAACAACACTCTAAAGATGCGCGAGATACTAGCGTAAAAATCTGATCAACTACAATTATATAATACGCGGGATACTAACGTAAAAGTCTGATCAACAACAACCTATAGATGCGCGAGATACTTAAGTAAAAATCTGATTGATTGAGATCTGAAGATGCGCGAGACACTAACGTAATAATCTCATCGATTACAATCTAAAGATACGCAAGGTACTAACGTAATAA